ATATTAGAGAGAGAGAGAGACACTTGGGGAGCAGGTGAGTGGCAGAGAGAGAGAGACAGACACGGAGACAGAATCTGAAGCAGGCTCCAGGCTCTGAGCTGTCAGCACAGAGCCCGATGTGGGGCTCAAATTCACGAACTGTGAGATCACGACCTCAGCCGAAGTTGGACCTCAACCGACTGAGCCACCCAGGTGCCCCTTTTTCCTTTTAAATAAAAAATTGTGGTACAGTACACATAACATAAAATTTACCATTTTATCATTTTTAGGTGTGTAGTTCGGTGGCATGAAGTAATCCACATTGTTGTGCAACCATCACCACTATCCATCTAGAATTTTCCCATCCTCCTAAACTGAAACTCTGTCCATTCAACAGTAAGTCCCTGTCCTCTGTCACCTTGGCCCTGGCAACCACAGTTCTACTTTCTGTCTCTATGAATTTGGCCACTGTGGTTATCTCATGTAGGTGAAATTATGCAATATTTTCCCTTTTATGCCTGGCTTATTTCATTCAGCATAATGTCTCTAAGGCTCTCTCTGTTGCAGCATGTGCTAGGATTACCTTCTTTCCTTTTTAAGGCTGAATAATATTTCATTGTATGTATAGACCACATTTTGGTTATCCATTCATCTTTTGATGGACATTTGGGTTGTCTCCACCTTTTGGCTCTTGTGAATTATGCTGCTGGAACATTGGTGTACAAATACCTGTTAGAGTCTCTGCTTTCAGTACTTTTGGGTAAATACCCAGAAGTGGAATTTCTGGATCATGTGGTAATTCTATTTTCAATCTTCTGAGAAACTGCCAAACTGTTTTCCACAGCCGCTGCACCATTTTGCATCGTCACCATCAATGTACAAGGTTCTAATTTCTCCACAATTTCCAACACTTGCTATTTTCTGTTTTGTTTTGTTTTTATAATAGCCATCCTCAATGGATGTGAGGTGGCATCTGACTGTGGTTTTGATTTGCATTTTCCTAACGATTAGTGATGTTGAACATTATTTTATATGCTTATTGGCCATCTGTATACCTTCTTTGGAGAAATGTCGATTCAAGTCCTTTGTCCCCTTTAAATATATATGTATGTATTTTAATGTTTATTTATTTTTGAGAAAGAGCGTGAGGCAGGGAGGGGCAGAGAGAGAGGGAGACACAGAATCCTAAGCAGGCTCCGGGCTCCGAGCTGTCAGCACAGAGCCCGACATGGGGCTCAAACTCACAAGCTGTGAGATCATGACCTGAGCCCAAGTCGGACGCTTAACTGACTGAGCCACCCAGGCGCCCCTGTTCCCCTTTTTAATGCAGCTGTCCCTAAGGGAAGGGCATCCTCTGTAGGCCCACAGCAGGGAGTGAATGGTTTTTTGTTTGTTTGGTTTTTTTTGTTGTTCATTTGGTTTTTTGTTGAATGAGGAGCTGTTTGTATATTGTGGCTTAAACTACTTATTAGGTATATGATTTGTACATATTTTCTTCCATTCTGGGGGTTGCTTGCCCATCTTTCTTGGAGTATCACCTGGATTCTTATGTACCCCATCCCATTTCATCTCTCGTGGGAGCCATATGAAACTAACCTAAATTGCTCAAAGAGGCTGTGTTGGTTTTGTGCTCCTCTATGAATCGTTCATAATTTCCCATTAGCAGAGGGGGAAAGAGGAGTGTTTGTTTCGGGTGTGGCAGCAGCTATAAGGAAGATCTGTCATCATCTCAGGCTCCTTACCTAAGCTTCCACCAAACTCGTGCTGTGCAGCTAGCGCACACTCACTAAAGGTTGTCGCTGCAGTCTAGTTGTGCCTGGGGCTTGCACCCGTGGATGTTCATCGTTTAGATGAAAGAGCCCTGGGTTTGCCTTTGGACTTGTGTTCACATTCTGTGCCGCTTCCCACAGGAAGTACAGCCTCTCTGACCTCAATCCAGTTAGCTTTCTTAAACCCGTTTCCCCTTGGTTGTAGCGCTATTTGCCAGGGTTGTGAGCCAGGCTCAAAGGATGATGTATAGTTATCCCATCAGAGTACAGCCCTTATTTTTGGTGTTCAGAACAGGGAAGAGTAATGAAGAGATTGTACAGCCTGGTGGCTGGGTTTGTGGCGAGGGTCAGTGTAAAGCTGTAAGGCATGCTTTGGTCCTGGGTCGGGTAAATTGCTGTTCTTTCACGACACTTAGGGGCTGCCCATTACAGGCCCTCCCGAGGAGAATCCGAAAGCTTAATTGGGAATGGGCCATATCCTCGTACTTCCAATTCTAGCCTTCCCTACAGTGTTTCGGAAGCATTTCCCACCCAGCCAGAAGCAGAGGAGGGGCACGCCGGTCGGGTAGGCTGGTTGAGGCCCTATAATCTCTTAAGTATCACAAGTCCCCTGCCTAGCAAAGCCTGGCTAGGTCTTGGCAGGGGATCTCAGCTCAATACTGGGGCGGAGGAGGGGCCTGGATGAGGATACCCAGTCCCTGGTGTTGACTTGGCTGGCATTTCCTCAGAGTTCTTTCTCGTCTTCAAGCTGGTCACAGGACGTATGGATGACAGAGCCTAGTTCCTATAGTAGGCGATCCAGGACTTTGTTCAGCCAAAGGCAGAGGAAGAGGTGGACAAAGATGCCCCCTCGAGCGCCCACTCTGCGCGGGTGTAGGGAGGCGCGCTGCGCAGGCGCCTCAAGCCTGACGAGGGCATTGGGCCGAGTGAACGTCCCAGCGAGCTGCGTGCACTGCGCAAGCGCCCCGGGAATGACGGTGAGGGGCGGGGTGTAGGGAGGTGCAGTGCGCAGGCGCCCCAGGACTGACGCGGCAGAGGGCGGGGTGTAGGGAGGCGCACTGCGCAGACGCCCCAGGATTGACGCGGCCGAGGGTGGGCTCAGTGCTGGCGTGAGCAGCGCCTGCTTCACGGGTCCTCGCTTTGCTGACCCTAGACGCGGGCACAGCGCAGGCTGTCCCCCTGGGACTTGGTTTGTGGGGCCGACTGCCATTTTTATACTTGATTTTAGAATTGCCTTCATTTTCTGCTTTAAAAAGTGGCCGCCTCCGTTTCCCTATAGGGGCCCAGGCCACTGAGACGAGGGGCAGACACTGCAGGACCTGCCACTGTAGGTGCCTTCCTGGGACCCTCCTCTCCCTTTCCAAGGAGCATGGTCACCTAGTGAGTTCCTGTTGCAGACCAGGCATGAGGATGACCCCCAAGTATTAGTTGTGGGGGCGCTGGGGGTTGGGTGCGCAGGTGCGGCCTTGTGAATGGGGTCGTCCACGTGCGGGGGACCTGTGCTGTGGGGAGGGCTCCCGACTGGAGAGCGCTGACCCGCCGGGCGTGGCACGTTGGGCTGTTTTGGGTCCGCAGAAGGGGCCTTGGTCCCTTCTCAGGATGAGGAGTGTGTCGCCTGTATTAGGGACACATCTGAGCGGGCAACCCCAGCATGTCATTCCCCCTGTGCCTCCTGTGTTCCAGGAGGGATGAGCCTTTGGGACTTAAATGGCATTATGCATTGATTAATTTTCAGATGGGTCTGGTCCAGGGAGGTAGGTGCCAGCCATTGAGTGGTAGAGTGGGGTTTCAGTCTAACCCGGTGTGACCCCAAGTTCAAGCCCTAGCATTTTGTCTGTTGGGAAGGGAGTGTGGAACTTGGACAGGACCTGAGGGTGAGTCTGGTAGGACACTGAGCTCATGCAGGCTGGCGGCCAGCGTCTGGGGCACCAGGGTGACGAGAAGGATCGGTTCTATCCTCGCCTTCTCCCAAGATTCTCCTACTGCCTGTCATCTTAATAACTCATTTTCTGCTTGAGAATTCTTTGTAGACCCATCTCCAGGTCTTTGAAAAGCTGTACCCCACACAGCCTATCTGTTTCTGTCAAGTGGGAGGTTTAATGTCCTGGAAGGTGCTTTTGAGTGCATAAGGAGGACAGGGGTTTATTTTTGTTTTAAACATTAATATTCAAGACCTTTACATTCAAATCTCATTAAGTGTTACAATTCAATTCATAATTCTAGAATGTTTTAGTTGTCACTTATCGGGAGGTCTTGGATTAATGTGGGTACATATTTGCAAATTTAAACACTTTCGAATAGTTCTGTATACTTGCAGAAGTCATTTATCCGCTTCCCCCGCAAGCACTGCAGTTGTCTAATTTAACCACAAAACTCTTCACTTCTCCCCAAGCTCATTTTCCCACCCTCGCTCACCGAGTGCTGAGTAAACACCTTGGGTCTTCTCGGTTTGTAATTTTCTTGTGTGTTCTGTATACTGCTAAAGTAATGTGTTTGTGCTTCTGTTTCTTCTCTTGAAAATCTAGTTTAAAAAAAATTTTTTTTTAACGTTTATTCATTTTTTGAGAGACAGGAAGAGGCAGCGTGAGCAGGGGAGGGGCAGAGAGAGAGGGAGACACAGAATCCGAAGCAGGCTCCGGGCTCTGAACCGACAGCACAGAGCCCGACGCGGGGCTTGAACCCACAAACCATGAGATCATGACCTGAGCCAAAGTGGGACGCCCAACCAACTGAGCCACCCAGGCGCCCCTTGAAAATCTAGTTTTAAAAGCGAGGTTTATTGATGTGTACTTTACAGTTAGTGAAATTGACGTTTTCTAGGTAGGTGGGCAATTTGATGAGTTTGTGCCCTTATTCAGTAGGATAACCACCATCACAATCAAGATAGGATCTCTTTCACTCAAAAAATCTACTTGCCCATTTCTTGATGTGTTAAGTTTAAACATCCATAGACTCTTTGCTCTTAAAGATAATTCTGTGATTTTCTTAAGAAAATTTGTCCTGTTCCTATTTTCGTCTCCAGAGTGGATCAGGTTGGAGTATATCTGTCCTTTAGTTAGGGGGTTGGGTAGGGGCCAGGCGAGGGCAGAGGGGGTGAAGACAGAGCTACTCTTGGCATGAGGCCTGCAGGAAGATGTGCGGTAGCAAACACAGTGCTTTGTTCAGGTGCCCTTGAGAGACCTCTCGTGTCCCCACGAGAAGGACTTCATCGCGCAGGCACCGGAGGTTGCCATCTCAGAGGCGGTCCCAGGACCTGGCACTTGCGCGGGCGCGGGGGGAGACCCATGATGGGGACATGGCTTCCCGGTCTCTTTCTGAAGAGTTGCCCTGTTGTGCAGAGGGGAGCCTAAGCCGGAGGGACCGACTCATTGTGCGCGTGCTATGTGCCAGTACACGTCATACGTTATCTTCTTTCTTTTTTTTTTTTAAGCTTATTTATTTATTTTGAGACAGACAATGCCACCAGGGGAGCGGCAGAGACCAGGAGAGAGAGAGAATCCCAACAAGGCTCTGCGTTGTCAGAGCAGAGCCTGACGAGGGGCTCCAACTTACCAACCATGAGATCGTGACCTGAGCCAAAATCAAGAGTTGGATGCTTAACAGACTGAGCCATCCGGGTGCTCCTCTTTAGTCTTTAAGAAAAAAAAATATTTTTTTAATGTTTTATTTATTCTTGAGAGAGAGCGAGCGAGTGAGTGAGCACGAGCAGGGGAGGAGCAGAGCGAGAGAGGCACACAGAATCCAAAGCAGGATCCAGGCTCCCGAGCTGTCAGCACAGAGCCTGACGCGGGGCTCACAAGCTGTGAGATCATGACCTGAGCCGAAGTTGGAGGCTCAGCCGACTGAGCCACCCAGGTGCCCCTCATCTTTTTTTTTAATCAAACTTTTAAAAATTTTGAAACAAACATGCAGGAAAGTTAGGCATACAGTGCAAGGAACCAATATTGTTTCTTGAAACATTTGAAATTAAGCTGTCAACCTGCGCCCCTGCATTCCTGGATGCACCAGTGTATAAACAGGTGGCTTGTCCACAACACAACCATCAGGGACCTTCCTGATCTCTCGTTCCTGTTTTCACTCCTCCCAAGTGAGGTCCTTTGCAGCAAAAGGACCCTGGTCAGTACCATGCGTTGCACGTACTTGTCACACCTCTTCAGTCTGGAAGGATTCTCCGTCTTTCCTGGACTTGCAGGGCTGACATTTCTGAATAGGGCAAGGGCAGTGAGTTCGCACAATGGCCTTCTTGGAACATCCTTGTCTGATGTCGCAGAAAGGATGCTGTGTTCTCATTGCAGGTCTTCTGGCGCTGTGGACTTTGAGTTAGGGGTGTTCACTCTCCGCTTGGGGTGGGTGCTCCAGGGTTTCTCAGTCCTTCCCCACCCCAGACCTGCGCTGTGGGTGGGTCTCACTCCACCCTTGCTGTCAGGGGATCTGTACTTGTCCTGGCCGCTGCCCAGCGCCACCTGGTGGCCACTGCTCCCTGGTCCTGGGGTGGGAGCGAGTGTCCCTGCAGTTGTGTGTGTGCGTGCGCAGGTATCTGGGGACGGTGCATGTGAGCGATGGGGGCCTGGCTGTCAGAGGTGCCCCTTCACAAACCTTTACATCTATATATCTCCATCTGCGGAAAATCGCAAGTTCACACCCATATGCCTCCAATTCTAATTCAACACTGCAGGATTCATTGTATCCTTTTCCAGATCCATATTTCTAATCCCCTTTTCTGACAGTGAGAAAACTGGCTCCCATTATTTTCATTATGTCTGCTGTATTTGATTAAGGCTTTGTAACTCCCATCCTCACTGCTGCCTGCTCCCCCCCACCCCCCATGCCTGTTCCCCCATGCCTACTCCCCCTCGGCCCCTGTGCCTGCCCCCCCATCCCTCAGGCCTGCTCTCCCTACCCTCCCCCGTGCCTGTGCTCCCCCTCACCCATGTGCCTGCTCCCCCATGCCTGCTCCTCCCCCATCCCCCATGCCTGCCCCCCATGCCTGCTCCCCCCATCCCCCATGCCAGCCAGCCCCTCTTGGGCTCTGTCTCTGTGTTTGGCTGGGTGCTCCCAGCCTGTATCCTGTGTGACTCCTGCGCTCACTCTAATGCCAGGCCGCCCTTTCTTGGAGACCCCTGTAGCACTGTGCTTGGCTCTGACCCCCTTGCCACGGTGCCCCTCTGTGGGAGTGCCCTCCTCCTGCTGGGCCACGCCCTCCTCACTGGCCCCCTACGCCCACCTTCCTCTGCCTACCTAAGAGGATGTGTGCTCCTTGTCACCCGAGTGGCAACTGGAATTGGTTTTCATTTTGTAATCACAGTTTTGTGGTTAGAGTGAAAGATACGTCCATTTGTACCAGAGCGATCCATGAGCATATCTGCAAAAGGAAACGTATAATGTGAATAATGGTCCACATCAGAGGGAGTTTTTGTCTTTGTGGTGGTTGTGGGGGCAGGAGGACCAGGCAGCCGAGGCTGGCTATGTAGGTAAGGGGCAGCCCGCCCCGCTGGAAGAGACCTCAGTGGAGTGGGGGAGGAGGTGGGGGAGAAGGTGTACCCCCGTGGAAAGGCGCTGATCCCCACTGTCCGCCCCGCCAGATGTCCAGGGTGCTGCAGAAGGATGCCGAGCAGGAGTCGCAGATGAGAGCAGAGATCCAGGGTATGAAGCAAGAACTCTCCACCGTCAACATGATGGACGAATTCGCCAGATATGCCAGGCTGGAGAGAAAGATCAACAAGATGACGGATAAGCTTAAAACTCACGGTACTGGTTTCAGTTGTGGTGTGGAAAGTTTTACGAGAGCTGATTAATAGGGAAGTTTTTATATAAAGATTCGTAGAATATATGTTTTGATTCTTCGATGTTCTAAATGTTGAAAGGAACTTTTAGGTTGTCTGGAAGAAACCCAGTGATCATTATTACTTTCTCCTTACTTGCCTGTGAACCTTTGCTTCCTAAACACAGAAACAACTAACATCTTCTGAGTTTTTCTTCGTTTTCTGTAGGTAGACATTTTCAAATTCAATACATTTTGAGACAAGCCTGAAAAAGTGTCATCCTGGATTCCCACGGGCTTTTGTGAATACTCTCAAAAATGCCCAGCAGTGTCCTTACCCCAGTATAGACTTGAGGGTCGGGGTTTGGTCTTGTTCACTGCTACTTTTGCCACTACCCCTAGCAGTCTCCTGTGATGAAGATGTTTTTCACCCATGTGCTGGGTGAGAGAGCTGTCTCCATGGCTCGTAAGACATACGGAAGGGCCCACCCAGGCCCAGGACTAGCCAGGTTTCCACTTCTGGGTTAGTGTGCTGTGTAGACAGGGAGGCCTGGGGAGCAAATCTAGTCTTCCTGGTGAGTGATAAGTGCACTATAAAAGGAATCTCTGATGTAGATGGATAGTTTTAAGCATTTTCACAATTAAAGCTTCAAATCTTATAATCTGTGTGTGATTCTATTTCTTTTTTTTTTAATTTTTTTTTAACTTTTTTTTTTAACGTTTATTTATTTTTGAGACAGAGAGAGACAGAGCATGAATGGGGAAGGGTCAGAGAGAGGGAGACACAGAATCTGAAACAGGCTCCAGGCTCTGAGCTGTCAGCACAGAGCCCGATGCGGGGCTTGAACTCACTGACCGTGTGAGATCATGACCTGAGCCGAAGTTGGCCACTTAACCGACTGAGCCACCCAGGCGCCCCTGTGTGTGATTCTATTTTAATGACTGGCATAATGTGTGGCTTTTAAGAAATTCTGTTTTATATTTTCTTTTTTTTTAATGTTTATTTTTGAGAGAGAGAGAGCGCGCGCACACACACAAGTCGGGGAGGGGCAGAGAGAGAGAGAGGGAGACACAGGATCTGAAGTAGGCTCCAGGCTCTGAGCTGTCAGCACTGAACCTGACTTGGGGCTCGAACTCATGAGCCACCAGATCACGACCTGAGCCGAAGTCCAGAATCGGATGTCTAACTGACTGAGCCACCCAGGCACCCGTCTGCTTTATAATTTCTAAATACACTGAATTAGAAAACATTTTATAAAATGAAAATGACATTTCTGTGTACTTTGAGTATTTTCTTCATTTTTCAGGACTGATAATAATGATTTCATCCTTGTTTTCCTTTCAGTGAAAGCTCGGACAGCCCAATTGGCCAAGATAAAATGGGTTATAAGTGTTGCCTTCTATGTATTGCAAGTAAGTGCCCTATTGTGTCACCTGGGGTCCTTAAAATTGGTACCAGACTGTCCTCCAGAACTCTGCAGCCCCCAGAGTCCAGGTGTGAGAATTCAGGCTTTTCCACTCTCGGCCGCTGTGCTGCGTCATCCTGCCAGCATGGAACCGAGCACTGTGGATTTATAAGTTAGACTAGAAGAAAGCCTTTCTCTCTCTCTTTGAGTTGAAGTTCGACATACAGTGTTAGTTTCAGGTGTACAGCATAATGAATCAACCGTTTTCTGTGTTACTTGGTGCTCGCCATCTGCTTTTTTTAAAATTTATTTAGGTCCTAGTTTTTGTGTTTATTCATCTTGTTTTTTTAGATTCCACATGTGAGCGAAATGATACGGTATTTGTCTTTCTCTGTCTGACTTATTTCACACAGCACTGTATTCTCTAGGTTCATCCATGTTGTTGCAAATGGCAAGATCTCATCTTTTTATTTTTCTTTTTTTTAAGTTTATTTATTTATTTTGAGAGAGACAGAGACGGCACGAATGGGGGAGGGGCAGAGAGAGAGGGAGACACAGAATCCCTAGCGGGCTCTGTGCCGCCAGCGCAGAGTCTGACATGGGGCTTGAACTCACAATACCATGAAATCATGACCTGAGACGAAACCAAGAGTCGGACGCTTAACCGACTGAGACACCCAGGTGCCCCAAGATCTCATCCTTTTTAATGGCTGAGTAGTATTCCAGTGTGTGTGTGTGTGTGTGTGTGTGTGTGTGTGTGTGACCACCTCCTCTTTATCCACTCATCTGTCACTGGACGTTTTGCTCCCGTATCTTGGCTAACGTAAATAATGCTGCAGTAAACATAAGGATGGCTGTATAGTTTTTCAAATTAGTGTTTTCGTTTCCTTTGGGCAAATACCCAGAAGTGGAATTCTATGTTTAATGGAATTCTACGGTAATTGTGTGTTTCATGTTTTGAGGAACCTCCATACTGTTTCGCAGCGGCTGCACCGGCTGTGTTCCCACCAGCGGTGCGCGAGGGCTCCGAGAAAGCCTTTCTCGGTTGGAATTGTGAGACGTTGAGGTTTTCAGCACATGAATGCTGAAGTGGCTTCCCTGGAGCTCTTTCCTACTGCCTTTATTCCAGTGCAGTTTGGGGAGCGTGTGGGGAAGGGAGAGAAGCTTATTTAGATAGTGGGTTTTTTTGTTTTTTAATTTTTTTTTTAATGTTTTATTTATTTTTGAGACAGAGACAGAGCATGAGCAGGGGAGGGGCAGAGAGAGAGGGAGACACAGAATCCGAAGCAGGCTCCAGGCTCCGAGCCGTCAGCACAGAGCCCGACACGGGGCTCGAACCCACAACCTGTGAGATCATGACCTGAGCCAAAGTCGGACGCTTAACCGACTGAGCCACCCAGGCGCCCCTAGAGAGCGTATTTTGTGAGAGTGCCGGTTTGGGTCGCTGGCTGTTGTGTGGTGTGTGGACGTGGAAGTGACTGCCCGCTCTCCGGGTGGGGGGGGGGGGGGGGGGGGGGGGGGCGCTGTTCTCGTTAAAGTCCAGCCCATTGATTCCCAGCTTTCCTGTCTGGGGTCGGAAGGTTCCTGTGGAACCCCTGCTTCTGCTGCGATACTCTGAGGTCATGGATGTGCTGCGCACGCACGAGCGGCTGCCTTCAGTGACCTCTGGGTTTCGGCGCTACACGTGGTCCTCACTGGGGAAGGGATTTGGGCACACCCCACACAGCCCAGGTTGTCTGGGTACATTTAAGTACTCACCCCGAGGCATTGTCACTGTGACACTGGCTGGTTTCCCGAGGGCAGGAATTGAGCCAGATTCCCTCTTTTATGGTCGCTCGTTCGAGTGGCTGATTCAAAGCCACGAAATGGGTGAGGACAACCGAAGGGATGCTGCTTCACTGCCTACTGTGTAGACTCCCTGGGCTCCCTCCACGCGTAGAGGCCAGCACCGTGTGTGGGTGGGAGATCGACTGGCTTTCCAAGGATCACAGAGGCGTGAGATCACTTTTGTCACTAATAAGGTGTGTTTATCATAGTCTGGCTACTTAAAGGAGATGCTCCATGAGGAAAGAACCCCTTCGTTATGCGGGACCCGGGTTGATTTATCAGCTAATTTAATAGTGTGTATTTGTTATTCATATTAAAACAGTAAAATGCCAGCTCACAGAAGGCTGCCTCACTTGGCAGCAGTGCGTGCCAATGTCCTGTGGACGAGTCTCTAATTAGACACTATTTCAGGGTGCCGCCAGCGGAAATTAGTGGCTGTACGTCTGGGTCTGTTTCCCGCGAGGACTGATTGATAGGGCTTGACCTCATCGGTTTGGAGAGTTTCCTTAGTATGTTTGCGTGTTTCTCGTCTTTCTTGGTTATTGGTTGTGTCACTGGTAGGTTGTCCGCTCACCGGCAGTGTCTTTGCAGGCTGCCCTGATGGTGTCGCTCATTTGGAAATACTACTCTGTCCCTGTGGCCGTGGTACCGAGTAAATGGATAACTCCACTAGACCGCCTGGTAGCATTTCCTACCAGAGTAGCAGGTAAGAGTTTTCTGGAAATCCCAGGGGAAGAATATGGACATGTGGGGTACGAGGTGAAGTAACCCCCACCTCGTCCATTCACTAGTGAGCAGTTCTTGGTGTCTGGGCCTCACAGCAGGCTCACGGTGAAGAAACAGGCCTAGAGAAGTTACCTGCCGTGGCCAGCGTCACCGGCATGTTCGGTAGGAGTGCTAGAGTTCTCTGTCCAGTCTGCTTACAGAATCGAGGTCCACTCCTTGAGTTTGATACCCTGTTCATTGAAACGCCCATCTCTAGTCCCTAGATTCTGTGACCTCTCTTCGTTCCTCACGCTTGGCATTTCTCCAGCATTTACTGCTATTGGCTGTTCTTTTATTTTTGAAAGGTAACATCCTTGGGATGTTAAAAGCAGTACATATCATTAATGATGAGAAATACAAGAACAATTTTAAAACCATCTCATGGGCTATAGATAACTTCTCTTAACTTTGTGGTATGTTTTTCCAGTCTTATTTTTTATTTGTTTTATACAATTAAAGTCGTCTGGTACATGTAACTTTATATCCCCTTTTACTTAATATTGTAAACCCTTTCCCGTATCAGTAGACTTTTTAAGGAATTTCAAAAAACTGCTCTTCATTAATTTCTCTGTTAAAGATATTTGTTTAGGGGCGCCTGGGTGGCGCAGTCGGTTAAGCGTCCGACTTCAGCCAGGTCACGATCTCGCGGTCCGTGAGTTCGAGCCCCGCGTCAGGCTCTGGGCTGATGGCTCAGAGCCTGGAGCCTGTTTCCGATTCTGTGTCTCCCTCTCTCTCTGCCCCTCCCCCGTTCATGCTCTGTCTCTCTCTGTCCCAAAAATAAATAAACGTTGAAAAAAAAAAATTTTTTTTAAAAAAGGTATTTGTTTAGGTCCTAATTTTTTACTGTCGTAGTCTGGTTATGCAACGTGCATCCTTGCCCGCCAGCCTTTGGTTGTGTTTTGTGATCACGCTGGAAGTAATTTACTGAGTGAAAAAGAATGACCGTTCCCAAAGATTCCAATTTCACTGCATCCTTCTCCCTCTGCCCCTCTTCTCCCCCCAGCCTTGTGGGCACTGCTGGTGGGCTCTCAGGGCCGCTGAGCAGGAGAGCACGAGGCCCCGGCATCTCGGGGGCCACGGGCACTCTTGCAGCCTGCTTTCCTATTGCTTCGTCCTCACCTGGGCATGAACGGCAAGGGTAGACATGGCCTAGTTTATAACAGTATTTTGAGAAGGAAAAACAAATAGTCTTACAGGGTGGTTTTCTAATTTATTAATGTCGTAAGTAACAACACGCCTCTCTGGCAGGAAAGAAATTCGCATCATTGCCAATTCGTGTGATTCTTACTGAATGAAGGAGGCAGCCTGTGAATCAGGTCTGATGAGTTTGAATCTAGGAGACACAGTCTGAGTTTTTCGTAGCCTAGCACTGCTGAGAAAGAGTTGGATTCCTGTAAATTAAAGGTAGCAGAGGCCGGAAATACGGGCAGAACCGTTGGCATGCTCTCTGATGTTGAATTTCTTGGTTTCTAGGTGGTGTTGGAATCACCTGTTGGATTTTAGTCTGTAACAAAGTCGTGGCTATTGTGCTGCACCCTTTCAGCTGAGAGACCAGACGAGTCCAGCTGAGACACTTGTCAACAGTGGATTTTCCCTTATAGGCTAAAAACCTGATACTTTTTTTTTTTTAAAGGAAACAGAAGCACACAGGTTAGGTTTTTTTGTTGAATGTGTTTGTTCTTGGATCTTATGTGAGATACGAGAGGCCGGATCTTGTGCACTTGTCGTTGAGCCAGACGGCCGGTCTCTGGTCTCTCAGGCGAGTGCCCCGGCCAGCAGAGCCGCACGTTTGTCGGGAGAAGGGTGTGGCGTGGGTGTCCGCACGCTGTGACTCGGGGTCTGCCCTGTTGGCGTATTTTAAAGGTCATGTTGCCAATGGGAAGTCGGTTTTCTAACTTAAGTACTCTAAAGACTTTGTGCTATTCTTGATTCAGATTAGAAAGCAGTTTAACTTTAATACCACCAGTGGAATTTGGAATCTCGTGTAGTACTGCTAAGAGTAACACTAACTGACATTGCTTGTGTTTTTTCCCTTCCTGTGTTGAAATGTCACGTGTTGGGCAAGCCTTTGTATAGTATTATCTACTTATCTGAAGCTGTTGATTTTTCATCACTGTGTTTTGTAATGTATTCATGAGATCATAATGCATTGTTTTATGCTTGAATTGTATGTTTTGTATTTAAAGCATTTCAAATGAAGTCTGTTTTCTAAGCATTTAATATTTATGCTCTGTAGAATGGAACAAACTTAAACTGGGAATTCTGATTAAATTAATTTGAGTGGATACATTTTTAAAAACACTTCTTTTTTACTGTTGCTCTTTTTTTTTGAATTATAATTGACACATGATGTGTTAGTTTCATGAGTACAACATAGTGATGGTATTTGTACACACTGTGAAACGATCACGATGAGTCTAGTTTCTCCGTGTAAAACACTTTTTTATAATTAAAAGTTTTGCAAGGTCTTGTGTGACTTTTCCTTCCTTATGGTTACTTAACTTGCTATGACCAGTTTGTAAATGTGACAGGTGACAGAGGGCTTTGACCGTTAACTCAGTTGGCCACTGCACCTTAAAACTAAATCCTGTCACCGGTTTTTAAAAGGTAGTATTTGTATTCCCGACTCCCCTAGTGACCTGAGAAGCTGCCAATTGTGCCGGAAAAAGACACAGTGCCAGAACGCTCTAGTGTGTCTCCAGAGTCGGGGTCAGCTTCCCCTTCCCGTTCCTTCAGACTTCCCAGCCCTGGGCTGACTTGGCTTTCCTCAGAAAGGACGTGGAGCAGGCATCACGGGAGTATTTGTAGCGAAAGCATCCGAGGGGGTGTTTTGGCCACAAAGGATGAGAGGCCCACCTGCCGAGGCGAAGAGGGGGCACCAGGGAGCCTCCGGGGCCAGGCCCTCGAGGCCGCGTGCCTACCGCCCGCGCTGAGCGAGCTGCAGGCCTGGAGGCAGGTTGTATGGAGCCGTCGGTGGCCGGGCACGGCGTGCGCAGGGACACCCGTGGATCACTAGTCCGTGTTCAGTCTCCCTGACAAGACCCTTGCTCGTCTCCTAACGATCTGATCTTCCGCTTAATACTCAAGAATTTTGACGGCTGTCACCGAGGCCGGAGGAGGAGACGCGCAGTCCCGGCCCGTGTCCGTTCCGCACGCAGTACTTGTTTGTGAAGGTTACGTCAGGGACGTTTACACGGCCGCCGTGTTTTACAGCATCGCGGCTTTTTAAAAGTCTGTTTGTTTTTAAATAGATAATAAACATCGTACTGGATTCACGAGATACAGAAAGGGATACGATGAAAAGTAGATCTATCTTCTGACCGGTGAGTGTCCTGTCAGACCACTTTCTGTTTCCCGTCAGTACCAGTTTCTTACGACTCTCCCAACGATACCCCGTGTGTATGTGAATATTGATGGATGCGTTTTTAAAATAATTTTTTTTAATTATAAAAGTAATACCTAGGGGTGCCTGGGTGGCTCAGTTGGTTGAGCGACCGACTTCAGCTCAGGTCATGATCTCACGGTTTGTGAGTTCGAGGCCCGCATCGGGCTCTGTGCTGACAGCTCGGAGCCTGGAGCCTGCTTCAGATTCGGTCTCCCTCTCTCTCTCTCTGCCCCTCCCCCACTCATGCTTTGTCTGTCTCTGTCTCAGAGATAAATAAACATTAAAAAAAAAAGTAATACCTAAAAAAATAGTAAGTGCTCATTTAAAAAGAAAAAAACGACTCTTCCAACGATACCTGGTGTGTATATGAATATTGATGGATGTGTTTTTAAAATAATTTTTTTTTTAATTATAAAAGTAATACCTAGGGGCGCCTGGGTGGCTCAGTCGGTTGAGCGACCGACTTCAGCTCAGCTCATGATCTCACAGCTTGTGAGTTTGAGATCCATGTGAGGCTCTATGCTGACAGCTCAGAACCCGGAGCCTGCTTTGGAGTCTGTGTCTCCCTCTCTCTCTGCCCCTCCCCTGCTCGCACTCTGTCTCTGTCTCTCTTTCTCTCTCAAAAATAAATAGTAAACATTAAAAAAAAAATTAAAAAAACAAACAACTCCTACTTGGAAGCAAGGAAACAAAGTCCATGATTGCACAGAGTGGGGATTACTGATATTAACATTTGTGCTTTTCTTTTTTTCTATTTATTAATGGATAGCTATAGGTTTTGCATTTCTATTAAAAAATACTGGATACAGGGGCGCCTAGGTGGCTCAGTCGGTTAAGTGTCTGACTCTTGATTTCCGCTCAGGTCGTGATCTTGAACACCTAAAGCTCTCTTTATGGTCTGCTTTACATTTATGATAAATTAAGTGGAGCTCTTTACACATAAACCCACCAACATTTCCTTTTGGGGTTGATAACCCTTCTGTTGCCTGGATGAGGGGTAGAATCCTAGTCAACTAGTTCACTCTTCCTTGACCTGGCCAGAGTTTTAAAATAATCTGTGAGGATGGGGCACCTGGATGACTTGAGTTGGTTGGGCATCCGACTTCAGCTCAGGTGATGATCCCGCAGTTCACAGGTTCAGGCCCCGAGTCGGGCTCTGTGCGGACAGCTCGGAGCCTGCAGCCTGCCTCGGATTCTGTGTCTCCCTCTCTCTCTGCCCCTCCTCTACTCACCTCTGTCTCTCTCTTTCCCTCTCAAAAATAAACACTAAAACAAAACAAAACAAAATTATCTGTGGGGATTTCTTGAGACCTGGGTTAAAGACAGGCTTTTCCAGACAGTTTGCATTTCTACTGCCCTCTGTAGGTAATCCAGTTTTCAGGCTTCCCGGGAGGTTGAGGGCAGACTGGCTACAGACTCTCAGTCTGAGACAATTTCTCCAGGTCCTGGAGGCTGGAGGCCCTGGATGTCCCAGCCTTCCGTCCCATGGGTGGGGCTCCTGGCAGGCCCCTGCTTGGGTGGACAGACTTTGTCCCACTGGGTTTTGTCCTGGAGACTCAGTTCTCCAGTTGTGGCAAATGCCTTAGGCAAGAGCTGACTTCAGAGCTCTGTTTACCTGCCTCTCTGGGTACCTGCTTTCACTTCGTGTTTACCGGCTGTGCGACCTAGTTGAAAACTGAACACATGTTCGTTAGAGCTGGTACAACATTTTTAGCTTTCTTAATGAGCAGGAATGCTGGAGTTCCTTGTCTTCCAGACTACAGGAAGTGGCTCTCTTGTTTTTATTATAAAACCTTTTTTTCCTGTTGGTTATAGAGTATGTTCATTGTCGAAAATCATAGGAATAAATTTAAAAGTTGACCACAATTGGGGCACTGGGGTGATTCTGTTAAGTGTCCGACTTCAGCTCAGGTCATGATCTCATGGTTCGTGGGTTTGAGTCCCATGTTGGGCTCTGTGCTGACAGCTCAGAGCCTGGAGCCTGCTTCGGATTCTTTGTCTCTCTTTCTTTCTCTCTCTCTCTCTGCCCCTCCCCCACTTATGCTCTGTTTCTCTCAAAAGAAAAAAAAAGTCAGCCACAATTTTATTTTTCAGAAACAAAAAGTTAGCATTTTATTACCCTATAACCATTCCTATGCATAATTTTAAAAAATGTTTATTTGTTTGTTTTGAGAGCGAGAGAGAGAGGAGGGGCAGGGCAGAGAGAGGGAGAGACAGAATCCCAAGCAGGCTCCGGACTCTAAGCTGTCAGCACAGAGCCCAATGTGGGGCTTGAACTCATGAACTGTGAGATCATGACCTATGCTGAAGTCAAGAGTTGGACCCTTAACTGACTGGGCCACCCAGGTGCTCCTATGCATAATTTTTTAAAAAGTTGAGGTGACCAGAAAGCAACAGTCCTGGATTATATTTTTATTAAATAGTTCCCTACAGAAGCACTTTCGGATGGCTCTGGTTTAATGTTTTGCTTTATACTTTTGTTGTGGGTAGGCATAAGAAAAGACCCCTTGAAAACTTCTACATTTGCTACAAGGCAAGTAGATGTTATAACATGGAATATTACTCCGTACACCATTTTTAAGGATCCTTTTAGTAAATTTCCCAGAATTCAGGGCCAGGCATTTGTGTCAATTGACCTGCATTTGCGAATCTCCCCTTCCAAGCCTGGGGGAGGGCTCATTCTCCCTCTGCCTCCTGTTCTCCCCTTCCTACTCTGTTCCCCAGGGTAGTTTTCCTAACGGTCAAACGCATGGCAGTTACAATATTTATCTCATCTTTGGTTTTAAGAACAATGGTTTTCCACCATGGCTTTCACTCTCTTTTAAAAGTTTTGTTTTACTATTCTCAATTTTTTTAAGTGTTATCACACTCTAACCCACTACACCTCTTTGGAAATAGCACGGTCTCCGTTATCAAGAAGCGGCCCTTAAAAATCACTGCAGGTAAGTAAGCTACTTAGCACTGGGAGTCCAGCCCCCATCTTGTCCCCACAGGAGATGCTGTCAGTATCCTGAATCTGTTAGGACAGAGCGGCTGGCTGGAGTGGACAATGATTAGGCCCATATGCTCTTTCAGAACAAGATTAACAGAATACAGGTCAAGGTGCGTGTATGCAACCAGTAGAAATAAAAAGAGTGAATCTCAGGTGTACATGAGGAAAGTCACCACAAAGGCGTGGTTAACCGAATAGGAGAGCACTCAAAAATAATTTTCATGAAACCAAGCTTGGTAATCACTGTGCCTTTTTTTTTTTTTTTAATAGAGTCTACTGATCATATTGTTCCCTTTCACAGCTGCTTCCATGTTTTTTAGTTAAAACCCAGCGTGATTGCTGAGAACATTGTTATATATATGAGACGTGTGTGTTCTTGGTGACTAACTTGGTCGAGGTCCGTAGAATATGAAAGCCATGTAATCAGTTTTCCAAAAGATAATGGACGTGTTTCATTTGTAGGGAAAAAAAGATACAATTTTATATTTGAAATGTTTTCATTGGCTAATCACAATGGATATTTATTTATTTATTTTTAAGTGTTTATTTGAGAGAAAGGGCAGGAACAAGGAAGCGGCAGAGAAAGGGAGACAGAGAATCCCAAGCAGGCTCTGCACTGTTAGTGAGATGCCTGACGCGGGGCACAAACCCACAAACCATGAGATCATGACCTGAGCCGAAATCAGGAGTCAGACGCTTAACCAGCTGAGCCACCCAGGTGCCCCTGGATTTTTAGAATTAGATTATAATAAAACAAAACCTTACTTATCCAGTCAGTCAAAGTACTACAACACACACACACACGCACGCGCGCGTGCTAACGTAAGATGGAAGGCAAGTAAGAATGAGAATATCAAATCAGAATGTTAGGATAAGGCTTCTATTTAAATAATTATTTTCCTTTTCTCTTCGGTGGGCGAAGACGACTTGGAGTTTACCACAGTTACTTTAGAATCTCCAAAAGCATTGCTGGCCGAGGCCTGACCGGGAGGCGGATGGTGCGCCATGCCTTCTGCGGTCTCCTCGGCCCCCCTGGGGGCAGCCGTGCTGGTCGGGTCATGTTTAAAGGCACAGCCTGACCCGAACAGTTCCTCCATGAGACTGCTTTTCTTCTCGCTGAAAGTGTCTTTTGCTTTGGGTCGGGAAGACTTGCCGAAAGAGGGTTCGTACCCGCTCACAGAACGTTCTGGTTTCGGTCCCTCCGCGAGCCCGTGGGCCTTGCCTGCGCTGGCCGGCCCCCCTGACGCGGGCAGGCCCAGATGCAGGTTCTCGGTGGCTTCCGTGAACAAGTAATGCTTTCTCTGCCGGAAGGGTATTTTGACGTTTGCAGCTGCGTTTTTCTTGGGCCCCTCACCCGCGTCACTGACTTGCAGACTTCTGAACTCTTCCTTCACTGCGTCGTCTTCCCGCGTGTCCTCCCTGTCAGGGTGAGTCTCTTGAATTCTCTTTGGTGGCACTTCTTGTTCTTCGGGCACTAAAGTGGTTTTCTTCTCTTGATCTTTTTTCTCCCTTTGCCTCTCAGGGTTCTCTGGAGGTGCTCGTACTTCCAAATGGTCCTCTTCCTTTGATAAATCTGTATGCGAAAAATAGTCTGTTTAGTGATCGTTATTATTTTAAATGTGTAGTTATTATTTTTGAGAGAGAGAGACAGAGTATGGGGGGGCAGTGCAGACAGAGAGGGAGACACAGAATCCGAAGCAGGCTCCAGGCTCTGAGCTGTCAGCACAGAGCCCGACGCGGGGCTCGAATGCATGGACCGTGAGATTGTGACCTGAGCTGAAGTCAGTCGTTCAACTGACTGAACCTCTCAGGTGCCCCAATACCTCACCCTTTCTCAGGGAGAGGTCCCCATTCTAATATTCTTATATTTAGATGACTCTCACATAGAGTTCTGCAACTGAGGTCTTTCTTTTAGTTTCTACACCACCAGGTTGACTTGCTCGTGAGACATACCCACCTGGAGACCCTGTGGGATCCTCAAAGTGGACAATTTCAAGATGGAACTCATCACCCCCATGCTGTGTGGGCTAACTATTCCCCACCTGCCCCCACGGAGCTTCCCTACATCCCCGTAGAATGGCTCTTATGGATGCACCTGCATCCACCTCTCACGTGCTCTGGCTTCCTGCTGGGTTGGGCTCATGGGAGGCACTGGCAGGAGACTGAAGGGCAGGTGGAAGATGGACTCTTCCTGTAGGCCCCGGGCGGAGCTGAAACGGACCGAGCTCTTCCTGCCACCATACTCTGGTTCAGTGGTTCTGTCGAATTTTCTCCCTTTGCACCTTGAGGCTCAGGGTGATGGCTCCAGCTGTTCCCGGCCCCGGGGTGCCTCCGCATCCGCGGCTGGTCTCCCCTGGCCTATCCCGCGCCTCCAGAATCTTCTAACCCTCCTCCGTCCGTCCCACCATGTGTGCTTCCTGTCCCAAAGACCCCGACACATACCTCTCCCGTGTGTGCCTTCCCTTTACTGACTCCACGGACGGCATCAGCTCGCGGTCAGAACCCCAAGCCAGAAGCCGGAGACATGCTTGTCTCTTTCCCTCACCCCACTGCCAGTAGGCCCCCCAGTGCCATAACCTTTTCCTCATAGGTTGTCCTCATGGTCCCCTTTGGCTTAACAGAACCGTTCAAGTTGTGGGACTAAATGAATTTGCCACCGCGAGGTAGTCAGCCGCGTCACCTGCACTTTGGCAGAGACCCAAAGGCAGGCAGGGGAGTAGGAAAGCTTCGGCCGGAGAAAAGGAAGGGCTGCAGGCGGGCCCTGATGGGGGCGATAGGCCTGGAAGAGCCGTGGGCAGCTGGCAGTGGGGCCCCCTCAGCGATCGATTAATCAGGGGGTACGGATTCGCCTTTGTCTGGTTGCCGCCAAGGCGACAGAAGAACCAAAAACCAGGGAGGCGGCAGGTTATCCATCGAATCCTGGCCATTCTGGGCCAGCGGTTAGGGAAGTCCTCGCTTGGCCGCCTGGGTCGTTCCTAGAGGTGCCGTGTGACGTCCAGCCGGCTGGCGTCCTGGGCTGCGGATTGTACCTGCCCGGCGGGAGAGGGTTTCCGGGGCCGGCCTGCTGCAGCCTGTGGGTCGGCTTCTATTTTTGTCTGCGGTCTGGCCATTTGCATCTTCAGTCTCTCGGGGTCATTGCCAGTTTTTACTAAACAGCAGCCCCAGAGCTGTTATGTTCCTGGTTATAAAGATAATATATCCTCCTGGAGAACAGTTTAAGCCACCCAGGAAAGTATACGGTATAAAAAAGAGGGCAAAAACCTCACCCCGGGTTCTTCCCGCAAGCCGTAGGCACCATTAACCTTTTCTTTTCTTTTTGTAAAAAATTTTTGAATGATTATTTTTGAGAGAGAGCAAGAGAGAGAGAGACAGAGCATGAGCGGGGGAGGGGCAGAGAGAGCGAGAGAGGGAGACACAGAATCCGAAGCAGGCTCCAGGCTCTGAGCCATCAGCACAGAGCCCGATGTGGGGCTCGAACCCACAAACTGTGAGATCAGACCGACTGAGCCACCCGGGCGCCCCTGTTTGGTGATGTTTAAATCCAGTCGGTTTCTATTTCAAGGTGGCACGTGTAGCACACTTACTGACATCTCCCGACAGGCACATGAAAGGGACAACGAGAGGTGAGAAACCAAACGCATCCAACATTAGAACACAGGGGAAGGTGCCGACAACGAGCCTGAAATGCTCGGCTTTCCTAGAACATACCGGGTAAATAGATTTATGAACCCAAATTATGAAAGAAGAAGTAACATTTGCTAAGAAATCATCAGCGGATGTTCATCATTACCAGCTGGGTGTGGTACCAGTTAAAACAACGAGAGCATTTTTCACCCATCCAAATGGACAAGTGATTTCAGGTTCGGTGAGAATACAGGGAAATTGGAACTTCCGGGTCCCCATTGGTGGGTGTGTCAATGGTACAGCGTTTTCTGGATGGCGACATGGTCAACAAGTTCGCTTCTAGGACCCAATGCGATAAACACACACCCAGCATGTGTACTGCGGCACGGTTTGGTAATGGCGAAGCGTCCCAGGTGTCTGTCGAGGGGTCATGGTTACAGAAACCATAGCACGTGCCGTCGAGGGGGTTCCGGGCGGTGGTTACAGAGAATGGGCTGCGTACACGTGAGCTGACGGGGAAGGACGTTCACAGTGTGTTGTTAATGAAAAAGCCACTTGAAGGTGAACTTCCCCGGTCCTTCCCCGGGCACTCAGGAGGCCCTGCCCTCTGCCTCCCGAGGACGGGCTGCCCCACCACCTGATTACTGACCGGCCGCCCATTTGGGAGGGACAATGGGGAAAGTGGCATGCGTGCACAGAGTTGGAGGATTTTCTCCCATGAACACACAGAAATAAAATTACTCATTTTAATCCAGGGAACTAGGAATTCTAGCAAGAGAAGTTGTTTTAAGAATTCTTGGTGAGGGAAGAAGCCAGCAGACTCTAGTTAATTCTAAATGACTGTTAGCTGTGCCCTGTGATACTTGATGCAGATGTGAACGAGTTGGGGGAGACTGCTCATTTTGCACCTCTGATGTTCCCAGCCCTGGTCTGTCACCTTCCCTGGTCCCTCCTTGACTCGAATCCTGGCACGGCTCCCCGTCTCCCCCCCCAGAGAGAAGGCCCGTGTGCCCAGCACGCTACAAAGCTGTACCACATCTGGCCTCCCCTCCCCTCTCTTCGGCTCCCCCCGCCCCCACCCCATGACATCTGTCCTCCGGGCCATGGGGTCTTGGCCTGGAATGCTCTTCTCGGGGGTCCGCGTGGCTGGCCCCTTCCCCCCGCCCCACCGCAGCTGCCCTTCCCTAGCCTCCTCTGTTCCACTTGTCTTCCCACCCTCACTTCACGCCCTCAACCTACTGCACACCTTACTTGTTTTACCCAGTGTCTGTCTGTCTGCGCTGGAGCGGACACATGTGCGGGCAGGGCGGTTTGTCTTCATCGCTGTACCCCCAGTGCCCAGGGCAGTACTCAGGGCACAGCATATGCTCAATGAACATCCATCAAATGAACGGATGAAGTTTCTAGGAGAATATGAATTACAAACGGACTAAAGGACAAGCGGAAAACTTAGACCAGTGACCCCAGGAGGAGGTGAAAATGGAGTTGTTGGCTTCTGCCCACTGCACCAGACACGGTGGCTTTGCAGGTGAGTCGTGCCAAGCCTTTGTGTTATTGAAACGTGTTCTAGGGGCGCCTGGGTGGCTCAGTCAGTCAAGCATCCGACTTCAGCTCAGGTCATGATCTCACAGTTCGTGAACTTGAGCCTCGCATCAGGCTCTGTGCTGACACCTCGGCCTGGAACCTGTTTTGGATTCTGTGTCTCCCTTTCTCTCTGCCCCTCTCCCAATCATGCTGTCTCTCTTTCTTTCTCTCTCAAAAATAAATAAACATTAAAAAAAAAAAAAAAGAAAGAAACATTCTAAAGCCAGTCTGGCCCCACACCAAAGGTGTGGCCCCTCCAGAGCCTCTCCTGAAGCCCCCCACTCTGCCGAGGGGGAGCAGGTGACCCGGGGCCCTGGGGGACAGTTTTCTCACGGCGATTGTGCTCACACGGCCGTGAGGGACTCCGCATTCCCCTGCAGCAATAATGTGGCATGCACGCAGTGGGGCAGTGCCTTTAAAATTCTGGAGGGAAATCATCTCCAGCCTAGAAGTTTCTTTCTAGCCAGTTATTAATCAGGTACGAGGGCAGAATCACATCTCCAGGTGAAGGTAAACACATTTCCCCCACATGCACCCATTCCCAAGATGTGGCTCTCAGAGATGATGGCACTGGCCGAGGAGGAGGAGGACGCGGTTTAAGAACAAGACCTAGCAGAGGAGGGGGTGACAGGAGCCTGCAGGGGAAGGGAGGTCTCAGCACGATAGCTGCGCGCCAGAGGCAGAGGGCGACCAGCCCGGACGCAAAGAGGCTGAAGCATCAAGGGCTGGTGTCCCTGGGATCCCTGCTCTGCAGAGCTCCCAGGCCCCCGATGTCCTTGGCCTGTCCTGCCCGTGGCCCGATGAAGGTGCTGCCCTCTCCATCGTGAGCGGCAGCCTGGGTCGGCTGGGGACTCTCATTCCACCCCCCAGGAGCATTCTGCTGGGACCTCCCCCCAGGAGCTGGAGGTGAGTGTGCTGATCTTAGCACAGGGAATTCGGACTGGCCCTGTCCCGGAGTGTAGACGCCACGGCTCCGGTGCTCCCCAGCCTCCCAGGGAGCTGCGTGGCCTCCTCGGTGCTCCCGGAGGAGCATCCTGGGAGGCTGAAGCCAGTCTGTGCATCTCCTCCTGGAGTCTTTATGTCAAGTCTTCGTTAACGGGAGCGTCGCCCTCTACGCAGCTGGGTTTGGGTTTGCTACTCAGTTTATCAGAACGGAACATACTGTTTAAAGATGTGTACGAGGACAGGACATGGGGAGGAACAGCAAGGGAGTGACCGGCAGCAAACTGAACATGTTGGTTGTTTTCTGGTGGGCGGGGGGCGGGGAAGTGCTTAGGAAGGGCCCACGCGTGTTCTGGGCAACACTAACGTCCTAGCTCTTTTTAAATTAAAAAGAAAAAAAAAATTTTTTTATTTTGGAGAGAGCGAGTAGGGGAGGGTGGCAGAAGGGGAGAGAGAGAAAGAATCTCAACAGGCTCCACGCTCAGCACGGACCCCCACGTGGGGCTCCATCCCACGACCCCAGGATCATGACCATAGCTGAAATCAGGAGTTGGATGCTCGACCAACAGAGATGCCCAGGTGCCCCCAAATGACCTAGTTCTTAAGCAGGAGAATGGCCACATAGGTGTTCATTTCATAATAATTCTTTATGTTGTATGATTTTTCCCCCCTAATTTTTGGGAAGGTGCAAGCAGGGGAGGGGCAGAGAGAGGGGGACAGAGGATCCTAAGCAGGCTTTGCACTGACAGGCTGACAGCAGCGAGCCCGATGTGGGGCTTGAACTCACAAACTGCGAGATCATGACCTGAGCTGAATGAAGTCAGATGCTCAACTGACTGAGCCACCCAGGCACCCCTGTATGTATGTGTTTTATGTGTACTTTCTCACACACACACACACACACACACACACACACACACACACACACACACACACAGTAATTCACACCTTAAAAAGATCAGGTAAGAGTAAAGGACACTTTTAAAAGCAGTTAAAATTACCTTCGTATTTTTTCTTGGACTCCTCTTGGTTTGGTAGTTTGCTGATACAGGGAGGAACCGCACAGGTCATTCTGGTGGATTTTTCTTTATGACCAACGTTTCCAGTTGTCTTTTTACCCTATAATTTAGGAAAGCAGCAAAAAAAAAAAAAAAAAAAAAAAAAAAAAAAAAAAAAAAAAAAAAAACCATTTTTTTGGGTACAGATAGTTTTAAATTGTATTTTATTCACTGAATATGAATACTTTCTGTGTAGAGTAAGAGACTGTTCATAGTCTATTTTTGTAAATAGACACTGCAAGAAATCAAATTTGTTGTACCTTAGTTGTCAAAGATGGAACATCTGATTTTTGGGTTTCCTGGTGTTTCATGCTTGTAAACAAAAAACTTCTGTCTGCTTGTACGGATTTTGTTGAAGAAACTGCAGAACAGGTACATTATGTGTAAGGAACATATTTTACATGTGGGTGCAATATTGACTTTACAGAGAAAATAACACATTTGTTGTGTAAAACAAAGTATACCAGATATTAAAATTTTTTCTTCCAATGTATGTTTAACATTTGCCAGTTTCCTTTCTTCCCTATCATTTTGCCTGTTTTGTCTCGTTTTGGGGCCACCAAGGTTGCACAAATCACAGTGTTAGGCTCCAGAGCGAGGAGGCTTTAGGCTAGGTCCACGTTGCTCTGGGAGGACCCACTGTCCCCGCCACAGACACACAGTCGTGAGGGAGTGAGTCACAGGGACGTCCTGCGTCAGTGCTCTTGGTAACCAGCGGTTAGATCGTCCACCGCTAAATCTATACCTCACTTTCCTCAAAGTGTTATCCCATCTAAATGGCCCCATGGCTGGTACGATCATCTCTGCTGGCTGTTATTCTGGATTACACAGCAGAAGCAAACAAAGGAAGGCAAGAAAATGTCAAGGTTGTTGCCTTTATTTATGTATTTATTTAAAGCAGGTTCCACACCCAGGATGGAGCCCAGTGCAGGGCTTGAACTCATGACCTTGAGATGGCGACCTGAGCTGAGATCAAGAGTCAGGTGCTTAACCAGCGGAGCCACCCCGGTGCCCCTGAAATTACTGCCTTTAAAAGTGAGCACGTAGTGACTTTTTCTACCAAAACAGGGTGTTTCTATTGTACCTCTTCTGAGCCAAGCCTGATGCTGGCAGATCTGGGGGGGGTGGCGGTGGGGGGG